GGCTGCCCTCACTCCAACTCCTATGTGAGGATGCTGAGCTCCTGGGAAAACCAAAGGGAGGGCAGGAGAGACAATACAGTGACCAAAGGCTGAGACTGCGTCATCGCTTGGGCATGAAAGCATCAAATGCCACCCCAGATGGGACTGTTGGCTCCAAGGTTTTTTCTCCCTTTCCTTTCTCCCTTTTCTCTTTTCCTTTATCGAGGTCTGCTATTTACTCAGCAAATGTTCAAAGTCTGTGGTTCTCTGGGACACAATGTGCCAAGTGATGCATGTAAGGGAGGAGATCAATGTATCCTCCACTTCCAAGAAGCTTGACTTTCCGGGGAAGAAAAGACAAGTGAAGCATAGACTTTGTGACGTTTGGCTTCCTGTTTCTGTGAATTGTGAGGAATCCTGTCCACCTGGCCCTGGAGCCGCCATCCCCCTGCTGCAGGTGCCGTCTCAATTAGTCCTGCTGTCCCTCCTCCCCCTTTCAGATTCCAGCACAATTCTGGAACAGCTCTCCCACCTGGCCAGGGTGAGGCTCCGCCCTCAAGCACTTGGGTGTTGATCCTTTGCAAAGGATGGGTATAGCAAGAGAGCGTCTGCAGGGGCCCCTAGAGGGCCGTGGAGATGGCTAGAAAACAGGAGTGAACAGACTCACTTCACCTTATGCCCAGAAACAAAGACACCAAGAAGAAGCAAATTCCATAAGTGCTTTTATTTTATTGGAGATGAGCAAGGGAGGCATTGAAAAGTGGGGATAGGGCTGGAAACATGCTGACAGGGCCTGGATTGAGCCCACACAGCAAGGGGCGGGAGCAGGACTCTAACTCCCAATGTTGGGTTTCCCTCTATGTGCTCTAGCCCCACTGCAACCCAGGGCTTGGAGGATTAGGGAAGCCAGCTGGGATGTTCCAAGAAGAGCCAGGAGGGCGGAGAACTCCGGGAGGAAATGGGTTATTGATACCTGGGTATAGATGAATATTCCCCCAGCTGCCTCCTGGATACCGATTAATATTCCCCCAGCTGCCTCCTGGATACCGATTAATATTCCCCCAGCTGCCTCCTGGATACCGATTAATATTTCCCCAGCTGGTACCTGGGGGTTGATTATTGATACCCCAGATTCCCCCAGGGTGTGGCATGGGCCTCGTTCCCCAACCAGTCCCAGGGCCTCCACCTCCCCAGGACACACTGGGATTCAGGGTCCCCCAGGGGTGATCAGGCAGAACCCTGTGGATGAGAGACCACGGAGGGCGCTGGGAAAGGATTTTTCCCCCGGGCCCCAGTGGATTAGAACGGGGCAGTCGTCTGGACTCCGAGTCCTGGTGGAGGTGTGAAGCCTCGGGTGAGAGGTCTGTGGCGTCAGGAGAAGACTCCCCAGGCAAAGGGCCACTGCCTGGAGCGAGGGCCGCGGCACTGGAGAGGTAAGAGAGTTCTTCGGGCAGCGCTTCCCCCAGGCGGTCCGCAGCCGCAGCAGCCATCATCAGCCAAGGATCCTCAGGGGGCCAGGAGTACACGGCAGGCAGCCTCCCGGACGGAGGCCACCTCTGCACTGCAGAGCCTCCTGCAGGTGGGAAGCCGTCTGATGGGGGCACGCTGAGCTTCAGAGAAGCCCTTGCCAAATCGTTAGACCTCGGGTCCAGAGCGGGCTGAGGATGTTCAGAGTTAGGGGGGCCAGTCAGGGAAGGTTGTCCAAGCTGAGGCAAGTTGGTCCCCAGGTTTTGGGAAACTTTCTCCTCCACAGCACCAATGCTCCGGGCAAAGAGGCCTGAGGGAAAGGGAAGATAAAGCAGCCAATGGTTTCCCTTCCCCGATTCCGGTTCCCTTTGCTTCCCCTGTGCCTATTCTTCCTTTTCCCTCAGGGACCTAAATGTGTACCCTCCTGCCTTTACCCCTTTCCTTAATTCCTGTTTCCTGGGGGACCTCCAGTCTCTCCTGCCCAAGGCATCGCGGCCTCCGTACCTGGGAGACGAAGACAGACCAGAAGCAGGCCCAGGGGAGCGCAGCTCCCTGCCACGCGGCCCCGCATCCTGCTCAGCACTCGAACCTCCCTCAGCCCCAAGACAGGCAGCCCTTTATCCTGGTAGTGGGGTGGGGGACAGCAGAAACAGGCTGGGCTAGTGGTTGTGGAGACAATAAACCTCCACATTCCACCCTCATTCCTAATGCGGTCTGTGGCAACAGGTGCCACTTGAATGAGTGTCCCAGAGGAAGCTGGGTGTCCCCCGCCCTGGCTCCTTTCCTTGACCTCCCTGCCCCTCCTTGGCCTAGGTGTCCTGGCTCACAGCTCATACATGGTTGCCAACCTCCCCAGCCCTGCTTCCCCACACACAAGGACCTCCACCCTGGGGTCCCACTCTCTTAATTGCCTCTCTCAGCAACAGAAACACTGGTTTCTCTTTGGGATCTGGATTGTTCCCTCCCAGCACCCCTTTCTCATGCATCCTCATATCTCCTTCACCTTGGCCCCAACCTGCAGGAGGTTCTGGGGTGCGGAAGTGGCCCCATCTGAGGAGCTGCTCCTAGATGGGACCCTGGATCTAGCTAGGGAAATGGGCCTGGATGCCATCCTTATGAGAAGCTGGTTAATTCCTGCTGCTGCAGTGACAAATTACCATGAACCGAACGACTTACAACAACGTGGATTTATGACTTTACAGTTTTGGAGATCAGAAGTCCAAAACAGGTCTCAGTGGATTAAAATAAAGGTCTCAGCAGGGCTGTGATTCTTTCTGGGGGCTTTAGGGGAGAATCCTTTTCCCCCCTTTTTCACCTTCTAGAGGTCACTTGTGTTCTTTGGCTCATGGTCCCCTTCCTCCATCTCTAAAGCCAAAATCAGCCAGTTCTTACACTGTATCACTCAGACCTCCTCTTCTGCCTCCCATGTCCACACTAAGGGACCTGGTGACTACACTGGACCCACCTGGATAATCCATGATAATGTCTTTAAGGTCAGCTGACTAGCAATCTTAATCTCATCTGGAATCTTAATTTCCCTTTGCCATGTAACCTAATTCCCACATTCCAGGTATTAGGATGTGGACATCTTTGATGGTGTTGGGGTTGGAGACATCATTCTGCCTGCCACAGGTGGTCAGATGTGCCACATAGTGTAAGAAACACTGGGAGAAAGTGGCTACTTCCCAGTAACAGTAGAGCAGGGCCTTTAAATGCTGCTGTCGAATGGCCAGGACTTGATCCTTGTTGAAGCTGGGTGGGGAATGTAGAGACTCATTAACTGTTGACTTTTAAATATGTTTTATTTTTATTATAAAAATACAATGCCTATGTTCTCTCCATGGCTTCCCAGAGGCCTCAGGAGTAGGCTTCCCTGGCTGGCCGAGGTCTAAACATGAGCTGTTGGCTGATTCTACTGCTGTGTCCTCCTCCCCAGCCCCTGCTGGCTTAACCACTGGAGGAGCGAAGAGCTTCTCTCCAGAACTGGCAGTGGGAGGAGCCCAGAGGCCTTTTTGGATGACATGCATGAGTTTTACACAAGCTTTTAATTTGGAGCACAGCAGAAGACTCAAGGAATCACCGCATCGGAGGGCCTCCCTCCCTGCAATTCCCATCCATGAAGCATCTGAGGACCTCCATTCCTGCCATTGGCTGCAGATCAGGGGCCAGATGCTGGACCAAGGGTGATTCAGCCCCTTTCTGGTCAATGTAATACATTTCTGCTGATTCCAGACTTGGACTTTCAACAGTTCTAAATTCAGGACCAGACAGCACCATCCTGATAGGAGGGAACGGGTTAAGTGCTAGGGTAGGGGTGAATTCCTTTGCAGCCAGCAGAGGCTCCAAGAGGTGGCCTGGGGTGGGGGTGGGGCTCCTACAGGGACAAGCACGACCCCCTCTGCCCTCCTTGGGATGCGGGAACTCCGTCTGCCTCAGCCGTTCCCTGCCTGTCTCAGGACTTAAGTCACATGGACCCCACCACCACTCCACTTTCTCTTCTCCAGTGGAGGTGACTCCTCTTCCCCACTGGGGCACGCTGCCCTCTCAGCCCTCAACTGAGAGCCGTGTTGCTCACACTGTCACTCTGGACCCCAGCAGAGCAGCGAGTGTGAAGACGGAGAGACCACTGGCAGCTCTGTTCTGCCGCGGGCCGGGCCTCTTGATCTAGGCCAGTGAGTCACCCTGCTTGGCTGCACTCCCTGCCCCGCTCCCATCCTCTCAGTCCTTTACTCTCTCCACCCCCAGCTCCAGGAACAACGCCCACCTGGGCTCCTACTCAGCTGACAGGAATCTGGTTGGAGTTGTTGTGTCCCAGCCTTCCCAAGCTTCCAGGTGTCCCAGAAACCCAGGAAATCGAGACTCATGACTCCCAGAGAGGATGGCGTCTAGAAGGTGAGGCATGCTAATGGTGGAAGAAAAGGAGTTTGGGTGGGGAGGGGAGGGAGAGGAAACACTGAGGGCCCTAAATAAGGAGAAGGAGGACCCCATGGTGAATGAGGAATGGGAAGAGAATGGATTTCCTGGAGCAATGAGAGAGGACGGAAAAAGAGGAAGGATCTGGGAGGCCAGGCAATCTCTGCTTTCAGTTCAACAAATATTTATTGTCTTCCTCCTCTGTGGGAGGAGCTGGAAGGTAGAAGAGAAATACAGGCCAGCTTTTGAAGGAAAATGAGAGAGACAGAGACCTATAGAGGCATAGGAAGAGCACCAGCCAGGCTCTCAGAGGAGACCCAGGACTCCAAGAAGGCAAAAAGTCTGCACCTAGTCCCCACAGTTTACTGAGCATCTGTCCAGGATCCAGAGACAACAGGGAGCCTGCTCCAACCTCTGAGGGTGCCCCAGTGTCTCCCTCACCCAGGGAAGCATCTGAGCACTGAGGGAAGTGGCCGCAGGAAGGGGCTGAGATAAGGGCCTTGAGAGGCAATGGGTGTGTTGGGGACGGTGATCTAGGAGGGCGTGGTGAGCTCTGTAATGGAGGGTGGGCTGGAATTGGGAGCCAGAGCCCAGTGGCATATTGGGTGGGTTGACCAGAGGTCACTGAAAAGTGGCCACTGTTTCCAGATGATGGTTTGACTTTGCTTTATTTGGTAAAGGGGAAGAGGAAGGTATAACTTTTCCAGGCGTCAGAGGTGCTCTGGGAGCATTTCAGGGGTTTCCCAGTTGAGAGGCTGATGGGGGTGTTACTCAATGGACCATTTCAAAGACACAGCAGAGGGAATTGTAAGGGGTGGTGATCTGGCTGAGGGACACTGCGGTGGAATGGGAATTTAAACAGTAGGAGAGAATCAAGAGAGGAGCTTTGAATCTACCATTTTGGGAAGAGGAAGGAGGAAGGGGTGATAAGAGAGAGTCTGCAACCTTGGGGTAGTGGAGAAAGCAGAGCCATTCTTTGGGGAAGGAGGAGGGAAACTGAGCTGACCCTGTGCCTGGGCACTGGACTTCTCCCATATGGGATATAGTGTATGTGCTTGTTTGTGCCCAAGGCATGCACACACACGAAAGTTGACTTATGGACTGTCGAGTAACTCTCCCTGGGGTAGGAAAACCTCAGGGTCAGCTAGCTGGGGCCCCAGAGGCTTCACTTGGGCTAGGATATCCCGGATGGAGCGGCAGGGGATCTTTCCAGCACTGCCGGAGCCACAGGGCTTGGCACCAGCGGAGGGATCAGGATGGGGCGAGCCATCGGGGTCCCCAGTCAGTGTCAAGGAGGAGACAGACATGCAAGGGTGACCAGAAGAGCTGGACTTGCTGCCACAAGGCTGAAGGATGATTTTGCCACTGGATTGGGAACTAGAGCTGCTGCTGAAGGAGCCGGTGCCTGGCGGGGAGCAGGGGCTCTGGGAAGTGCTGCCGCAGGGATGGTAGGGTGAACCGGAGCTGCTGGAAATGCTAGAACTGCTGTGGACTCGAGAACTGAAGGGAGAGCAGGGTCCCTTGGAGCCTGTGGAGCCGCCTCCACAGAGCTGGACCCCACCAGTCCCCACTGGCTGGAACGCAATGACTGAGGAAGCTCCCGACTGGCTGGGGATGATGGGGTTGCTGGAGAAGTATTTGCCCTCAGAGATGGGGGGCCCAGCTGCAAAGGAAGGGACCCCTGGAGAGCCTTTCACAGGGTTATCTTTGGTGAAGTAGCCCACAGGGTAGATTTTCCCTTTACTGTAGGTCATGCCTGGAACCAGGTAACTGTCAGAGGAGCCACCCACCACCTCGTAGCCACCATAGGATTTGTCTACAGAGGTGATTGGGGGACAGGGCTTGCCTGGAAGGCCACCGTTGCTACAGGGGAGACCTTGAACCACTCCAGGGCCACCAGAACCGTGCTGCTCCACCACCACCACCACAGGCCTCTGACCCCCTGACACAGAGTGGGAGCTGGGGATGTAGGGGCCGGAGTGTGAGATGATGGGCCCTCCACTGCAGGGAGAGTCGGGGATGTCTGAACTACAGGGACGCTGGTTGGAGCTGACCCTTTGGCCACTGGTCTGGGAAAAGGAAGAGCTTTGTCCAAGCTGGGAAGGGTTTAGTATTCCGCGGTAAGCGTTGTCACTGGTTGGCAGAGCAGAGCCACTCCCTACTTGGGAGCTGCTGCTGCTGAACTGAAAGGTGCTGCTGCTGCTGGAATGAGAGCTGCTGCTTCCCAAGTGAGAGCTACTGCTTCCTGTATTAGAGCCGCTGCTTCCTGCGTTAGAGCCACTGCTTCCTGAGTGAGAGCCGCTGCCGCCGGGCTGGGAGCCGCTGCCGCCGGGCTGGGAGCCGCTGCCGGGCTGGGAGCCGCTGCCTCCCAGCTGGGAGGAACTGGATGCACCTTGTAGACTAGAGCCAGATCCGGAGGAGGAGCTGACCTGGGAATACCCTGTTCCTGGCTTAAAAGATCCTGCAGAACCACCCTGGGCAACGCTGGATCCACTGGAGCCACTGCCAGAGCCACCACTAGAGCCACTGGCACTGGAAATGGAGCTGCCAGAACCGCTGGAGCCACTGTAGCTACTGAAGCCACTGGAGCCACCCTTTCCAGTGAGGCAGGGGTCATTAGGAGAGGTGATACGCGTGGGGTCCTTACAGGGGTCTGAGAAGGTGCCAATGCTCTTAGCCAAGGTCCCTGTGGAGGAAAGCAGTGGTTAGTAAGGGCCAGGGAGGCTTGGCTTCCTCCCTCACCTTTCAGCCCTATCTCAGTCATCGGCCTCTATCTCAGTCATCGGCCTCTCAGGTTTCTCCCAAGTGGAGCCCAGGGAGAGTTTAGGGATGGAGAAAGGAGGAAGAACTGGCGGTTGTCTCTAAAGGATATTGAGGTGGCAGAATAAAAGCAGTTTCATTGTTTGGGAAGGGTGGGCAAACACCAACCAGAAAAATAGAAAATTAGGTGCCAAAGTGAGGGGCCTCAAAGGAATACATTGAAGATAAGAGGGGGCTGGGCACAGTGGCTCACGCCGGTAATCCCAGCACTTTGGGAGGCCGAGGTGGGAGGATTGCATGAGCCCCAGAGTTTAAGAGCAACCTGGGCAACGTAGTGAGACCCCATCTGTATTTTGTTTTTTAATTTAAAAAATTTTTTAAAAGAAAAGGGAATGGAAAAATGGCAGGAACAAGTAGGTCTAAAAGAAAGAACCCTAAAGAGACAGAGAACTGGGGAAACTGAGGCTCTGAGAAGTCCAGGCATAAATTCTTAAGGAGAAAAATCCTGGGCCAGACAGTGGGACCAAAGGGAAGGAGAAGACAAAAGGCAAAACAATGGAGGGCTGAGAAGCGGAGAAAAACATAGAGGAGACACCGGAAAAAGATAAAGCTGGGGGCAGAGGGGCTGAAATAAAGGAAAGGGCACTCGAGGACTAAGATTTGGTCACCAGCTTCTTCGTGAGAGCCCAGGCTGCGGTCAGGAATGGAAACCCTATTTCCCATCCCAGCACTGGCCATGCCAGTAAGGCTGGGTGGGGGCCAGGATGTGGGGTCACTATCTGTTGCTTCAGAACCTGCTGGTACCAGTGTGGCAGGACACCGCACCCTGAGCCAGCCCTGCTCTCGCCGGCCCAGCCCAGGACGAAACCCCGAGAGCCTCAAAGACTCCTGGCCATGATTAGCTTCCCTCTGTGAGCACACCTGCCTCCATCCAGCCCTTCATCTGACTTCTGCTGCCTTGACTTCCCTTTGGGATGTGGGAACACATCTTTCCTTATCTTCCCTTTCCTTTGCTCAAAACCGAGGCCCAACTTACCCCGTGGTTCCTCCATGACTCTTTCACCTGCATTTCTTCTGCATTCCCTGGTCCCTCCAGGTCCCACGTGACACAAACAGAGCCACATAGCAAGTTACTGAACCTCTCTGAGCTTTAGTTTATACATTCAGAGGGGCCAAATTTGTCTTGCCTTCTCACAGCATTACTATGAAGAAGACTAAATGAGATTATCCATCTGGAAGATTTTTTTCTTTTTGTTTTTTGAGATGGAGTTTGGCTCTTGTTGTCCAGGCTAGAGTGCAATAACATGGTCTCAGCTCACTGTAACCTCTGCCTCCTGGGTGCAAGCAATTCTCCTGCCTCAGCCTCCCAAGTAGCTGGGACCACAGGCACCCGCCACCACATCCAGCTAATTTTTTGTATTTTTTGTAGAGATGGAGTTTCACCATATAGGCCAGGCTGGTCTCGAACTCCTGACCTCAGGTGATTCACCTGCCTTGGCCTCCTGAAGTGTTGGGATTACAGGCGCAAGCCATCGTGTCCGGCCAGAAGATGTTTTAGAAAATGTAAAGCGTTATACATTATGATTTATTACTGCCACTCATCCTGACCCCTTCACTAACAACCAGACTTCCATCCTCTGTGATGTCCCTGTTCTCTCCTCAGAAAGAAATTCTCTGCATGCACCTCCACACCAAACCCTTTCTGTGCCAATTCCCTTCAGTACTCTGCACAAATCCACCAAGCATTGCCTTTCTCTTTCTCTATTCCCTCAGACACCAACCACCTACCAGACCATGGGAAAGTCGCAGAAATTCCTCAAGCGCTGTAAGTACCCGGTGGTCAACAACACAGGTCCAGGGGTCACCTGGCCTGGGGTTGAAATCTTGGCTTTGCTGCTTTCTAATGCATGATCCTGAGCTAGTTTCCTAACCTCTTCATGCCTCAGTGTCCTCATCTGTAGAGTGGAAATAGCAAATCTCCTTTCATACCATTCTCGTAATGATCAAAAGTGCTAATGTAGGCCGGGTGTGGTGGCTCATGCCTGTAATCCCAGCACCTCAGGAGACCGAGGCGAGTGGATCACTTGAGTCAGGAGTTCCAGACCAGCTTGACCAACATGGTGAAACCCTGTTTCTACTAAAAATACAAAAAAAATTATCCAGGTGTGGTGATGGGCGCCTGTAGTCCCAGCTACTCGGGAGGCTGAGGCATGAGAGTTGCTTGAACATGAGAGGTGGAAGTTGCAGTGAGCCGAGATTACGCTACTGCACTCCAGCCTGGGAGACACAGTGGGACTCCATCTCACCAAAAAAAAAAAAAGGTTCTAATATATAATCCAAATGTGCTTAAAACAGAGTCTAGCATATTAAAAGGCTCTAAAATTGATATCACTATTAAATGTCCAATCATTATCGTGTAGTTCTCCCATAATAAAAATCACCACCACCACCATTTATATAAACCTCTAGAATTTCCAAAGCATGTGTCACATACATTATTTAATTTGAGACACATAGACTAGAGATAGGTGTCATTAACCCCACTTCAGAATTTCAGAAACGGAGGCTCAGGAAGTTTAAGAAACTTACCTGAGGTGACAAGGCAGTGAGGAGCAATCCCCAGACTCAAAAGGCAGATTCCAGAGCCCCTGCCCGTCCCCTTCACTGGGTCCTCTCCTGGACTCTCCCTCCCACCTGCCTCCTGTTCCCAGGGCCCCCAGCCTCCTACCTGGCAGAAGGAGACCAGCCAGCAGCAGTGCCATCATCCCGCGCCCGCCCACACGCCCCATCCAGGGTGCCCGAGACAAGCCCATCTCGGCCTGCACAGCCTCCTGACTGACGGCAGCTCGAGGACACCCGGGTCCTTTATGCCAGAGCTGGACATTCCCTGGGCAGGAGTCACTGTGGGGAGGGGAGGAGAGGTGGAGGGGGTGGGTGCCCTGGGGGAAGTTGGTGTGGCCGGGAGGAGCGTGGTAATCAGCCCGGTGCATCTGCCTACTCAGCAGCAGCAGTGGCTGCAGTGTGGGGTACCCATGGCCACGGGGCCCTAACGATCCTGCCACCTGACAGGCCTGGCCCCGGCTCCTCATTGCCTAACCCGGAACCAGGCGCTCTGCCCCACGGCCACCCACTCTGGGGCGGCCACTCTTGCCACGGGACCCAGCTGCCTGGCTCCTTAACTCTCCTGCCTACCCTGGCTTGGCCTGTCTCCCCATCTGCCCTCCACTCGCAGACATGGGCGTTTCAGCTTTTTTTTCCACACTTGGGTGCCTGTTCCAGCCCCATCTGCCCAACCCCAGTGAGGTCCCATTCACAGCCCCCAATCTGCTCCTTCCTTGGGACCCCATCACTCCACCTCCACTTTCCTCCTTCAGATATGAGTTCTGCCCACATCCCCCAGGCTCTCCCTCCCACCACTCCCCAAGTGCTAGGCCAGCCATACACCTATTACATGTTCCATCACCTGGGGAACCTTCTCCTTCCCAGAAATGGGGCACTACATTCCCAAAACCAATCCCTGACCTGTTCCTTCTGGGGGCCTCTGGGGACGGCATGGTGATGGGGGTAGGGGGGGTGCTGGGAGCCAGGGCTCAGCCAGGGGAGGGGCCTGGGCTGATGACCTCTGTCATAGCTGGGCCTTGGTTACTCACAGGCCACTCACAGCCCCTCCCCATGGCTGGAAACTCAGACCTCAAGGGTGAGCAAGAAGCTAAGAAGGCTAATTGGGAAGGTGGTGGCCCCATAGCCCATCTGCTGGCCCTGGGCTGGATGAGCGAGCAGGAAGCAGCAGCCAACTCTGGGCAGGTCAAGGAGGGCCAGGCAGGCTCCTGGGTCCTCAAAGGATGAAAGGAGGCCAGGAGAACCAGAGCCCTGCCGTCTGCTGAGAGGGTGGTGGCTTCTCCTCCATTGCACTGGCCTCCCTCCTGCTCTGGCCCCGGCCCTGCCCCAGCCAATTAATTGCTCCCTAGTATTGCCGGAGTATCAGTATCGGAGGGAGGTGCCTAGGAGTTCAGCAAGCTGCCCTCTCCCCCGCCAGGCCTCGGACACCCCTGCTCCCCTCACCCAAACTCACTTCCAAAACCTCATCTCCTCACAAAGGCAGGTCCATCCCTGGAGCCCTTGGGCTGGTCTCTCCCATTCCCTCTACCTCCTGACCGGCCTTTAAGTCCAGACCGGCAGGATGGAAATGTTTCCTGTCTGTGCTGCCTGACACAGTAGCCACTAGCCACATGGGGCTAGTCTAACCACCAAAGATTTGGAGCTTTAATTTTAATTAATTGTAATGATGTGGTTGGCCACGTGCAGCTAGTGGCTACCATCTAGTCTTGCTCTTGACTTGCTGGTGACACTCAGAATGGGAGTGGGAGGAAAGAGGGGCTGAGGGAGCCGAGGAGAGAGGAAGGGATAGGACAGGGTCCCCTGAAGGGGGTTAATGCCTTGGGAAAAACAAAAAACACTGGCTTCAGAATGAAGATGACGTGGGTTCAGGTCCCAGCTAACCTCTTGGCTTTGGGCGACTCTTCAAACCTTTCTGAACTTCCATTTCCTCATCTGTAAAATGGGGATATTTTAAACAACACTTAGCTTGCAAGGTTTTTGTGAACGGCAAATGGGAAATTATCAGAAAGGTTAAATGGGACAAGGGGTGCAGTCCCCCTGTAGGAAGCCCAGCAAATGCAGCCCTGCAGGTGCTCCTGTCTTCATCCTTCCACTGGGGGAAACGAATAGGCCAGGTTCACCCCTACGGCCCCAGGCTCCCTTTCCTGAGTCTCCAGCCCAGCCAATGCTAGCAGAGTCTCTTCTGCTCCCTTCCTGTCTTGTGTAGAGCTGCAGGCACAAATGTGAGACAGAGATACCATTTAAAGTGATGCTGCTCGGCGGGCGCGGTGCGCTTGTAATCCCAGCACTATAGGAGGCCGAGGCGGGCGGATCACTTGAGGCCAGGAGTTGGAGATCAGCCTGGCCAACATGACGAAACCCTGTCTCTACCAAAAATACAAAAAAAAAAATTAGCCAGGCTTGGTGGTAGGCACCTGTAATCCCGGCTACTCAGGAGGCTGAGGCAGGAAAATCACTTGAACCCAGGAGGCGGAGGTTGCAGTGAGCCAAGATCGCACCATTGCACTCCAGCCTGGGTGACAAAAGGGAAACTCCGTCTCAAAAAATAAAAAATAAATAAGTGATGCTGCTCTTTCCAAACATCATTTCCTCTTGTGGGCCTCCCTAGACTCTCAGGCTTGGCTCCCTGGAGGACCTGGGCAAGCAGGCAGGGGGCTCTGGGGCAGCAAGGGGAGTGACAGAGGTCAGGGAGGAATGGACTAGAAGGTGCTGGGCCATTCCCCAGGTTGGGAGGGGAGAAGGCAGTGGAACACCGGAACAACAGAACCTGTGGCTTCTTCTTTTCCAACACAAATTTCCCCTGATCAGCCAGAGGTAGCAAAGTTTTTCTTGTTTTCTTTCTCACATTCCTCCCAGCTGCCGTCAGAACTTGGCCAAGACAGCCAGGCTGGAGGAGGCACAGTCTCTCCCGGCCTCCTGCCAGGTTCCAGCCGCCCACGTGGGTTGGTGGTGCAGTCACATCCCTCCTCCTAGCTACTCTCTCCTGTCCACTCCTGTCCACTCCATCCTGCCACCCTGGGCTGCCCAGTTCCTCTACTGTCCTGCCCACCTCTGGGCCCTCAAACTCCAATCTGCTGCACTTTTGATTTTTTACTGAAACCCTGTCTTCAGTGCTGGATTTTACTCTGCTGCTCACCATTAATCTTCCTCTCAGCGCAGGCGGTGAAGACCTAAAGCTAATGGGGCTTAGGAGGGTAGAGAAGGGCATCAGCTGAGTGCCCGCACAGGCCAGGGTCACCTTCAGTGAAGCTGCCAGTTTGGTGATGTCCACAGTAGTGCAGGCAGTTCTGCTGTGTTCTACAGCGACAGAGTCTGCCCCTGCCCGTGCCCGTGCATTGGACCAGGTGAGAAAGTGTGGGTGGCGTAGACACCCCGCACCTGAGAAAATCAAACTCAAAGCACGTGCCTTCCATAGGCAAAAGGTGGGGCTCCCAGTCATGTATTGTGAAGCAGGCAGGTCACTCTCCCCTCCACCCCTCCAGCAGCCCTGTGCTGCTGTGTTTTCTGTGCCAGGCTTGGCCCCCAGTGCACGCTCCTCTGCTGTGCTTTGGAAGTTGCACTGAGAAGGAAGAGGAATTGTTCCTTGCCCTGAGGAGCTGCCATCCTACTGGGGACACACAGCCTAGAGTAGAGAAGCGGAGAGGCACTTGGCTTCAGGGAGGTGGCAGGACTTTCCCTAGGCCTTGAGGAATGATGAGAGAAGCACGGAGCAGGCAGCCAGACACAGGGCCTTGCGGTGCTTCAGGTGTGTTTAGAACCAGCGGATGGCGTGGGTTGGTGTGGGATATGCATGTGGAGGAACAGTGGTGTGGGAGAAGGGACAGGCTGCTTGGATCGGGATTGTAAATGACCTACAACACCGGGTTAAAAGAATTTGGATTCTACAGGAATTGTAGTAAGTGTTAGAGGGTGCAGGGAACCAAAGGGCTTTGAATGATCACAAAGGGGGCTGAAGCATGGCGTGGTGTAGTCCCAGCTACCCAGGAGGTGGAGGTGGGAGGAATCCGAGGCCAGCTGGGGCAACATGAGGGACTCCATAAAGAGGAGGCTTGGGGCACAAGATCCACTGTGTACTGACTGCCTGCTGCAGGCGGACACGGTGCCTGGGTATTTAACATGTGTTGTCTTGTTCAATCTTCACAACAGCCCTACAGGGTAAGTGCTTTTTCCCCCTGTTTCACAGATGAGAAAACTAAGTTCAAATTATTTGTCCAAACCAGCTGCTAACAAGCAAAAATTCTGAAAAAGATTCAAACCCAGGCCTGTTGGACTTCCAGGCCCACATAGATCCTGTTACTCTGCAGCTGACACCATGCTATAAACGGGTGGCAGAGGTTCATGGACAGGCTTCAGAGGTTCCCTAAACCCTGTAAGGATGTGTGCAAAATTCCTTATGTAAATGAATCTTTCTAGAGAGAAGATTTCCACTCTCAAAGCTGGCCAGCTGTGGTGACTCGCGCCTGTAATCCCAGCGCTCTGGGAGGCTGAGGCAGGTGGATCACTTGAGCTCAGGAGTTTGAGACCAGCCTGGCCAACATGGCAAAACCATCTCTACTAAAAATACAAGAATTAGTCAGGTGTGGTGGCGAGCACCTGTAATCCCAACTACTCGGGAGGCTGAGGCACGAGAATCGCTTGAACCGGGGAGGCAGAGGCTGCAGTGAGCTGATTTCATGCCACCGTGCTCCAGCCTGGGTGACAGAGTGAGACTCTGTCTCAAAAAAAAAAAAGAATTCCTAAGTGAGGGTTACCGGCTCAAGAGGTCCCTCCTTCACAGCTTTCCTCCTCTGGGGCCTGAGAGTCAGGACAGAAGTTCTAGAACAAGTGTTTCCCATAGGGGCCCTTGGTAGACCAGGGCTTAGGCTTGCAAGAAGGAAAACGGAGTGAGAACAAGGAAGAGAAAAAGCCCGGAAAAGCAGCTTATTTCGTGCTGGGGAGACAAGGAAGGGGGCCACCCAGAGCTGCTCTGGGGCTCCAGGGCCTGTGGGCTCCTCCCCTCCTTTGTTCCTCTCTGCTTGGCTCCAGCGAGAGGCCATTTCCTCTCCTCCTCTCTCTTTCTCCATGACACCCACGCTTCCCTGTGGACTCACCTCTGCAGCCACAACACCACCCTCCTCTCCCTGGGCGGAAGCCGACGCTCCTGGCCCACTCCCAGTAGGGGATGTCCTCTGAGTTGTTTTTCCTGTGCGGGGAGGGGTGGACTGAGTCATCCACACTCTTCACCTGGATCCTCTGGTAACCAAGAACATAGAAGGAGAGGGCACATCCCCAACCGGGCGTTCCGAACATCTCTGTGGGGACAGACCCTCCTTAGTCCAGATGCCCCCATGGGACTGGCTACACTTCTTGACTCAGTTTTAGTCTCTACTTTTCTGCCTTCCTCTTGGGAATGCCCCCTCACTTCTGTGGCTTCTTTCCTGTAGTAGACAATCAAGGGTGGAATCCACAGTCCATGGCCCTGACTTCTTGCCTTCCTCTCAAATAGACTCTGCAGCCAGCCATCTATGCAGCGCCCCAATGGCTTTGAAATGCAACAGAAGCCATCACCCCCGGACCGTGGGCTCCATGCCAGTAGGCAAAGCACAGGTGTGTTCACTGAGTTCCCAGCACATAGCTGTGGCAGGCACTTGGTGATATTTAGAAATAAAGGAATAGATGAATGTGTCCAGGCTGTGATTCCCCTTTCTACCTTACTCAGGGACATGGTGCCCTCCTGTCTAGCTTCCTGCCCTGTGCCCCCCACTCCAGCACAGCTCCTATGTACAAAGCCCTGGTAGGTGCTGGAGGGATTCACTGATGGCCTTGGCGGAGGTGGCAGTGGGCACGTGCACTTGGCTCTGACACAGCCACTCATGCGACACCCTGTGCAATCTCGGCCTGGGCCTGTGTGTCCTGCCCTCATTCCTCACAGGTGACTGTCTCCCCTGAGCCACTCTTCTCTCTATTGGGTTAGCTCCT